CCCCCCCCGCCCCCCCTCAGCCCCGTGTAGGCGTCCGGGCTGGTCCTGGGGACGTCCTCAGAGCAGCTGCCACCCCCCCCTCCTTGTCCCGATGTCCCCTACAAAGGTATGGATGAGGTGACGCAGCCGCTCTAGAGGTAACCCGGACGTTTCCCCACCTAATCTCTTGTGCCCTGAATGCGTTTTGCAGATTCCCATCCATGAATTTGTAGAAGACATCCTGTGACCCCAATATTAAACGCCAGCCCCCCCGTGCACCTGTGGCGCCCAAGGAGTTAAAGCCCGGAGGTAATTTCCACGTAGGTTTTGGTCTTAAACTTAGCGTTAGCTTCCCCGAGCCCCGTCCCGCCTCTCATACGGGATGTGTGCGCCCTCCAGATGCCGGGGGTCTGGCCATCCCCCGTAGCGTAGGCTCCCCCCCCGGCAGAACTGGCTGCTCCCCAGGCACCTAGGGACCCTCTCGCCCCCGCGGGCGAAGGGGACGGTGGCACTCTCGGGCGGGGACCAGGTCCGGAGGAGTTTCTTGAACCCCGATGCACCCCCTGCCTGCGCTTGGGTGACGAGTGAGAGCTGGTGTGTGAGCGGGTGGCTGCCCCCTGCGGGCGTGGTGGCTGCGAAGGCGAGTTTTGCACTGGTCCCGGCTCTGCCGGGCACCGAGCAACCACGGGACCGGGGAAGCCGGGCACGGGGGAGGCGGTGCGGTCATCAGTGCAGCCCTGACCGCCGGTCCCATGTCCTTTGTCGGCAGGACTACCACAAGATCATCAAGCAGCCCATGGACATGGGGACGATCAAGCGACGCTTGGAGAACAACTATTACTGGGGGGCTGCGGAGTGCATGCAGGACTTTAACACCATGTTCACCAACTGCTACATCTACAACAAGGTGAGAACCGTGCCGGCGCTGCCCCGGCTGCCGCCGAGTCCCGTGGTGCCTTCCCGGCGGACTCTTGACGCTGCCTCCGGTTCTCCCTGCAGCCCACAGATGACATTGTGCTGATGGCCCAAACCCTGGAGAAGATCTTCCTGCAGAAGGTGGCCCAGATGCCACCGGAAGAGCAGGAGATCGTGGTGCCAGTGGCCAAGAACAGCCATAAGAAGGGAGCGTCCCGGGCAGCAGGTACGGTCATGCCGTGTGGGGTGGGATGGCTATTTGGGTGGGGGG